GCAAACTCACCTAAGAAGGCTCCACTGGGTTTGGGTGGTCCATAAACTGTGGCAATAATAGTAGATTGGGGGATAGAAACATTTAAAACAAGACACTCAAAAGAAGAGGGAGGAGGTATAGTAATAGGACTTAGACTGTAAAAAACATTGTAAATAACAACAATGCCCCCGCCTCTGCCTGAAAGACGCTGAAGGTCAAGCAATCCATATTCAAGAGGAACTAGTTGGTTGAACAGGAGTCCATTGTTTTGTTTGTGCCAGGTTTCAGTTAAGCACAGAAAGTCAAGTTTTGTTTTTCTTTGATGATGTCACATAAGAGATGAGATTGGAGGTGCCCTGCCCTATAAAAAAGGCACACAAAGGTTGGTTACTGACAGATTCTGCTCTTCTCAAGAAAGAGCTGTTCATGTGAACCATGCCCTGAAATATCAGAGGACCTTAGAATTGTAGTGATGCATTAAGCTGGAAAAGGCGACAAAAGCATTTCTAAAGGCCTGGGTGTTCATCAGTCCACAGTAAGACAGATTGTCTACAAATGGGGGGAAATTCAGAACTGCTGTTACTTTCCCTAGGAGTGGGCGTCCTGCAAAGATCACAGCAAAAGTGCAGTGTGCAATGCTGAAGGAGGTGAAAAAGAACCCTAGGGTAATGGCAAAGGACCTGCAGAAATCCCTTGAACTTGCCAAAGTCTCTGTTCACGTGTCCACTATAAGAAAAATGCTGAACAAGAATGGTGTTAATGGAAGAACATCATGGAGGAAACCACACCTCTCCAAAAAAAGTCTCAAGTTTGCAAAAGACCACTTGGATGTTCCACGATGCTTCTGGGACAATGTTCTGTGGACAGATGAGACAAGAGTTGAACTCTTTAGCAGAAATGCAGAATGCTGTTTGGTGGGGAAAAAAACCACTGCACACCATCCCAACTATGTATGGTAAATGGAGCATCATGGCCTGGACAGCTTACTATCATATAGTGAACAATGAATTCAAAATTGTATCAGGAAATTTTACAGAAGAATGTCAGGTTAGTGGTCCGTGGTAGTGGACAATGACCTGAAATCCAACTCAACAACAGAATGGCTTAAATCTAAGAATTTGTTATGGAATGGCCAAGTCAGAGTCCAGACCTCAACCCCATTCAGATGCAGTGGCATAATCTGAAGAGAGCTGTTCACACAAGGAATTCCAGAATTATCAATGAACTGAAACAGTTTTGTAAGGAGGAATGGTCTAAAATTTCTCCTAACTTTTGTGCAAGTCTCATCATCAGCTACTGGAAATGTGTAGTGGAGGTTATTGCTGCTAAAGGAGGTTCTACTACTTACTTAATACAAGGGTTTACATTCTTTTTTCCAGCCTGGAATGGTGAATTTTTAAATGTCTTCAATATTGACAAGAAGTACAATTGTTTGTGTGTTATTAGTTTAAGCAGGTTGTGTTTGTCTATTAGTGTGACTTAGCTGAAGGTCAGACCACATTTTCGAGTAATTAATGCAGAAATCCAGGTAATTCCAAAGGGATTCACAAAGTTTCTTGCAGCTGTATGACAATGATCTTATAAATGCTTATTGAAATATCCAATCTAGATGTGTATGGACATTTTTTACTATTCACTAGTACAGTCTATATAGTAGAGAGGCACTGGTTGTGGTGTGAGAGGGCGTTGTATCATTTTAACACCCAATGCATGTTGAAGAATGAGAACTGTGTGACTATGCCATTTAACCAAAGACAGCATGGTTTTAATGGCAGATACCACAACTCGGGACGTGAGATGCACACACTGACGCAGCAGTTGAACTCTACAATGACTGAAAAATTCCCCTAGGAGGAGAAAAAAACACTTCACTAGTCAATGATTTTGTACCAGGAATGGTCTTTCATTCTGCTGACCAGAATCTCCCAGTCTTCCACGCATATAAATGTTTTTACATTATAAAATATATTCATCTTCAGCCATTAGGAAAAATTAGGGAGATTCAGCATCCTTAACATGATTAGGTATTTTTTTCCTAGACACTTACTACACTCTTTATAAAGAGAATTTCCTAATATATTATCTCCTATTTCTGTCACAAATGGTCTCTTAATTTATGGTAGTGTCCCTGGTGTTTTGTGTCATTGTTGGTTTGGCTTTTTTTCTATCCATTGTGTGGATTTCACAGTTGTAAATCATATTGGATCATTTGTCCTTCATGATAAGGAATCCTTATCACAATTCAGTAAACTTCTTCCATGGTAATGATATACTGTATGCACACAATGTGTTGATCAAGATTATACAACACCACAAATTACTGCTAGAATTTATTAATCAGAAGTGATTTAGGATGATAACTAATGTAATTTGCCTAATAAGTACTGTATATTAGTTTATTTTGACTTCT